GTTTGTGTGTTTATTAATTATGTACTTCTTACTCTTTAGGTATGTAGAAGGAAGGTAATTTATTGATTATATTTAAGTTCTGATCCATATCGTATAAGTACTTTGGATCAGAAGTTATTAATACTAACCACAGTGAACGAACATCCGGATCTTAATCTAAAATATAACACTTCACATAAGTTGTGAATTACTTTAAATTTCATACCCAGAAAAATGAAACTTGAAACAAAAACAGTTATAGAAATGTTGTGTCGATTAAAAAGTTCCAAGGAATATCAAGTTCATTTACTATAATAGGAGTAAATATATATATATATATATAAAGCTTAAGCCTAATCGAAAGCTAATACGTAATATCCAAAACTTATACGTAGTTCTTACTGATTGGTCGAAACTTCTATGCATAAGCTACTGTCTAACCAATGAACAGTAAACACGCCTTGATACTGAGCCAATACTGAGCTTGCTGGTACAATTATATGACAAATAAAGGTGAGTTGAGATTAAACAAATTATATAATTTTAAATGAGACTGTAAATAATACGCGATAAGGTCAACAATGTGCAATATTACTATAGAAACATGGAAACAGACACAGACTTAAGAAAAATAAGAAAAAATCTATAACTTCAGGTCAAGTTTGTGATTCGTTTCTTTGTAAAATGTAACACAATGTCATGTAACACAATGTCTCTGTTCCCCAGGTGTCATGTATTTGTTAAAAAAAACCCTAACATACGAAGAAATAAGTGGATGTGGTCACATAATTGTTTTTTTACTTCAATTATCAGTGTTAGGACAATCAATATACACAATCTGTTCAATATTACGCCTCAAATCTTTAAGAAAAGCTGCTACAAAACATAGAAATAGAAACTATATACACAAAGATACATCGACAGCTGTTAAAAAAAGAGGGAAGGTTTAAATTTAAAGGTGTTTATATATGTGTGTGTAGAATATTTCTGACCTGTAGTCACTTAGCGTGTTACGTATATCTGGTCTGAAATCACTTAACGTGTCACGTACTTCTCGTCTGTGGTCATTTATCATATCACGTATCTCTGATCACGTAGCGTATCACTTATCTCTGGACTGTGTTTGCCTAGGATATCACGTATTCCTAAACTATAATCCTCAACTAGTCATGTATCTCTGGTCTGAAATCACTTGACGTGTCACGTATCTCTGGTCTGTGGTCATTTATCATATCACGTATCTCTGATCACGTAGCGTATCACTTATCTCTGCTCGGTGTTTGCCTAAGATGTCACGTATTCCTAATCTATAATCTTCAATGAGTCACATATCACGTGATATGATAAATGACCACAGACCAGAAGTACGTGACACGTTAAGTGATTTCAGACCAGAATCTCTGATCACGTAGCGTATCACTTATCTCTGCTCGGTGTTTGCCTAAGATGTCACGTATTCCTAAACTATAATCCTCAACTAGTCATGTATCTCTGGTCTGAAATCACTTAACGTGTCACGTATTCCTTTTCTATGTACACTTAAAGCACCATGTATATCTAGTGATCACTTATGTGTCACATTTACATGAAAAAAAGAAGAAAGAATGTAACAACCCTGACGGTGAAATTAAACAACACTCATGTTTTAAAAGTATGCAATAAACAATACACAAAATTTACAGGAAAACAAATTAACAGACACAAACTAAAAAAATAATTAGTTCTCTGTCCCCCCCTGCAAGTTTGTTTCACCTGTCGACTAAAAAGGTATGTAGAGAAGAATCTTTTACAGGGGTTATCTATTGAAAACCTACGTATTTTCACTTTAATCATCAGTGCTTGGTCAGTCAATATCAATATACACGTTCAGCTGAATATTTCGTCTGAACTATAAAGAAAATTATGTGTACAAATAAGTAACGCAAGGTTTCTGAAAAAAAAAAAAGTTCGATATAAATAAACAATCTCAAGAATCATTCCAAGACGGAATGGCCGTAACTTAAGTTTCTCTATTAATTAGAGTATTTCTATTTTACTAAAATTGTAAAGTATAAGCTGTCAGTTTTATCAATTCACCAAAAGCTGCGAAACGTATAGTTAGATAACTATACATTCTAAGATACACGAACAATCATTTAAAAAAAATCGACTGGTTTATTTCGTTTGTTTTCCAATATTCGGGGGTTATGTGCGTTAGCCGTTTTCTCATTCTGAGCTTATAGACTAGACACTAGGGGGACAACTCCAGCCCAACTCTTTGTCTACTCTAATCGTATAACAATATTTAACCAATCCTTCTTATAACGCACCCAAGGCCCCAAAATATGGAGAGCAATTATATTTGGCGGAGATAGGATGCGAATGTTGGACCTATAGATCTGTAGTTTGTCGCACTAATCACTGGGCCACTCTCGGCCCCCCAAAGATTAAACGTACACAGTTACAGACATTCCGGTAGGTAGATTATTCTTGACTTTGTCACGTAGCTGTGGTCTGTTGATCACTTAACATGTCACGTATTCCTGGACTGTGTTCACTATCGTGTCGCGTATCTCTGATCCGCGAGGCTCGGCATGGCCAGGTGGTTAGGGCGCTCGACTCTCAATCTGACGGTCGCGGGTTCGAATCCCCGTCACACCAAACATGCTCGCCCTTTCAGCCGTAGGGGTGTTATAATGTGACGGTCAATCCAACTATTCGTCGGTAAAAGAGTAGCCCAAGAGTTGGCGGTGGGTAGTGATGACTAGCTGCCTTCCCTCTAGTCTTACATTGCTAAATTATGGACGGCTAGCGCAGATAGCCCTCGTGTAGCTTTGCACGAAATTCAGAAAACAAACAAACAAACTGATCTGCGATAACTTAATGCGTCACATATCCTTTGTCTATAACCACTTATCATGTCACGTATCTCTGATCTGCGATAACTTAATGCGTCACATATCCTTTGTCTATAACCACTTATCATGTCACGTATATCTGATCTGCAATAACTTAACGTGTCACGTACAATTTAGTCTATGATCAATTAATGTGCCACTTATCTCTTTTCTGTGATCACTTAACGTGTCATATATTAAGATCATTATAGTTTCACGTATCTGTAGTTCTTAAGTTCGTATTTTTGTCACATTTGTGGGTCATGTTCAGGTTAACTTTGCATGTTGAGCTCTGTTCGTATTGGATAATATTTACATTGTTATTTCTTGTTCGTTATACGAAATATTATATATAATTATAATATGAATTCTGGCTGAGTGCAGATGACGTGATGCGGATCTGCAGGTCCAAGGCTTGAGCCAACGCTATGCACTCTCCGTAATTTCAATTGTTGAAACACTATACAAATAGCTGCCTAACCCACTCTTTGGTAAAGAATAGCCGTGAACGTGGCGGGTGTTACTGCTTTGGTGTTCTCCTTCTGGGCCGCACTGCTAAATTAAGGATGATTATGCCTAAACCCCTGGGGTCCACTGATATGTCCGTTTAACCCGTGTATCACATAAGATGCCTTTCGGATTGAAAAAATCAACTACCTTTAAAAAATTCTATACAAGAAATTTCAAAGAAGGCTAACTCAGCTATCCCGTTTTGTACATGATTTGGGGATAATTTTAATAATACAAAAACTTTACTGGAACCAAAGGTATATATAGTTCAATGCGCAGCTCATTACAGGCGACCGAAGGTCTTTTTAACTGTGGTTCATTCCTTTGTAAATAAATTCAGCTGTGAGCCAGCAAGTCCAATCCACTAAGGACAAAGTCTTTTGTTAAAATAACAACAACAATAACTTCATTTGGAGTTGATCGGATTCTTTACCTGCAGACGATTTCCCGTTGGGACAGGAAATTGATTGACGAGTCTGCAAAGGAAGAGTAGAGAGTCCCCTTGGACGAATCAAGTCGACTTAAGACTGTTTTTGAAAACATTAAACAACAATAGTATGAAACAACAGTGCCGCTGGCCTGTTAACCTTCATCAACTTCGCTTGAATAAACATTAGGTATAAATTTCGGTGGTTGCGAAGGCAACAATAATGAACAGTAGAACAAAGTATCTATTTTATTTCTCTGTTTATACGTTACATCAAATTTGATTAACGAAGACAAGCATTATATTATCACTTAGTAAGTATATATATATATATATTAGTAAAATAACAGTGATTAACAATAGGATAAACACTAGTGAATAGGAAGTAAATGCAGGGATAGCTTATATAATTTTTTCAATAAACAAGAATGACATTTGCATCATCCCTAAATAATAGCACAGACACGCAGTGTAGTAGAATGTTAACAGACAAAAATAGGATAAATTAAACTCACTGCCACTCTTATAAGGCACCCACGGCCCCAAAGTGCAGTTATCCCCACATTAATAGCTCTGTGCTTCACAGTCCGAGCACACTAACCACGCCCGGCCCGAATTATTATATCAACACGATTCATTTGTCTTCTGTTAAGCACAAAGATGCACAGTGGGTTATCTGTGCTGAGCGCATCACAGGAATTTAACCCCCTTAGCCCTTTAATGTTGTAAGCTCCTAACCTCACCTCTGAGGGCTGGCGGGCATACAATAAATTATAAACAACTAAATATAATCAATTTCTCCTTTCTCTTGTTTGGAGCAAGCTCTACATTAGCGGCTGTTACATCCAATAAAATTAAATCGGAAATGTCCGCTGTAATTGGCGCTATTTCTTCGCATTATTTCGCCATATACAATCAAAATCACTGCAATATTTTCCGAGAAAAGGCCCTATCCCCTGGAGTTCTAGTTAAATACTACATTAATTTTAGGTTGTCGATACGAGTCACATTCAGAGGGTCATAAGAAGATTCAGGATATAAATCCACTGCACTGTAGATATCTAGCAACGTGGCAGTAGTATCATATTGTGTATGGTATTTAATTCTTCATAAAACACACACACGTATATAAAACCGTTTACCAAACACACCCTCATTTATCTTGCTTTATAAGGAAAGAAGACTAGAAACAAGCACTGGTAACCTACCTGACTCGGAGGTGTTATTTCTGTTTATTCAGAACCGCGGAGTGCGTGCAAGCTGTGTGTGTGGTAAACACTCTAAACGAGAACACTAAACACTCGTGCGTTCCTCGTGAAAGCTCATCTCGAGCGATACACTGACAAAGAGGGCGCCACAGACGTTTTGCCATGACAACCACGGTCATGACCACGAACACCAGGCTGAATTTTTTTCAAACATTGGGGATAAGAAACTGACCAGTCATGTACTCAGCTATTTTGTCTGCACGTGACAATCAATTTCATCTTATCCAGATCTACTGTGATGAAAATCAAATTAGTATGAGCTCTGTATATTACGTGAAGTAATATTACGACGCTAATGCAGGGCAATATAAACTCGAAAATATTTCATTATCTTTGGAAATAAGTAATGTAAAATATTTATTAAGTACTATGAGTGTGGCTATCTGTTCATTCCCAACTTAGCGTTAACAGAAATTCATTTCACACATTTAAGATGGTGTATCGATATCCACATTCAGTCTGTGTTCAGTAACACATTTGTTATAATGTTAATTTTTTTTTCAGAATCCCTTATTTCTATTTCTTTGAGCGTGCTTAATAAAAAAAAAATAATTTTGTTTATTTGTTTGTTTTAGCACAGAGCTACACAATAGGCTATCTGCGGTCTGTCTATCAAGAGCAAAACAAACCTCAGACTTTAGCGTTGTAAGTCAATAAACTTGCCGCATACCCACTGGGTTTTTTTTCCTTTATTTATCAGTTTGCTCTTTATAACGTGCTCACTTTTTGTAAGAACAGTTTTATTTTTTATTTCAGAGAATTAGTTAACCGAAGTGAGCCACACATATACTGCTTCATTAGTCATTCATATAAATATTCGCACTTGTGATAAAGTACAGAACTTCTATCAGTATTATTGAGAAGTGTGGAGTAAAGAGAGCATTCTGAGGTATAACTTTTATTGAGGAGAAGTATGGAATAAAACGAACATTCTGAAGTATAACTTTTATTGAGAACTGTAGAGTAAACAGACATTCTGAGGTATAACTTTTACTGAGAAGTGTGAAGTAAAGTAGACATTCTGAGGTATAACTTTTATTGAGAACTGTAGAGTAAACAGACATTCTGAAGTATGATTTTCCTGAGAAGTGTGAAGTAAACAGACATTCTGAGGTATAGCTTTTACTGGGAACTGTGAAGCAAATAGAAATTCTGATGTATAACTTTTATTGAGGAGAAGTATGGAGTAAAGAATGCATTCTGAGGTGTAACTTTTATTGAGGAGAAGTATGGAGTAAAACGGACATTCTGAAGTATAACTTTTACTGAGAAGTGTGAAGTAAAGTAGACATTCTGAGGTATAACTTTTTTTGAGAACTGTAGAGTAAACAGATATTCTGAAGTATGATTTTCCTGAGAAGTGTGAAGTAAACAGACATTCTGAGGTATAGCTTTTACTGAGAAGTGTGAAGTAAAGTAGACTTTCTGAGGTATAACTTATATTGAGAAGTATGGAATAAGACAGAGACTTTCTGAGGTATAACTTATATTGAGAAGTATGAAATAAGACAGAGACTTTCTGAGGTATAACTTATATTGAGAAGTATGGAATAAGACAGAGACTTTCTGAGGTATAACTTATATTGAGAAGTATGGAATAAGACAGATGTATTCCGAAATTTAATTTTTGTTGTGAAATGTGGATTGTTTGTTTGTTTGTAGTTATGCACAAAGCTACACAATGGGCTATCTGTGCTCTGCCTACCACGGGTATCGAAACCCGGTTTCTAGCTTTGTAAGTCCGCAGACATACCGCTGGGCGTGAAATGTGGAGTAAGTTAGGGTTTGCATCTTTGGTGTAATAGAAGGAGTTGAAACCTAATATGAAAATGTTCCATAATTGATAGAATAATGTTTGGATAATCTTTTGTTGCATGATAATTGCTCCGAAAACTTTTGTTCATTTTCTAAGAGAGAATTCGAATGCAACGATAAATGTTAAATGGCTTAGTAGATTAGTAGAACTTACTGGAACAGAAAAGCTAAATCCATCTGATTAGAGGCTATAACGCATCTAAGATGCATCCTGATATCACAAGTTATGAGGATTTGTCTTCCTTGCTGCCTTTCGTGAGCTCATAAAACTGAAATATACCTATGTTTCTCATCTTTAGAATGCCATCCCAAAATAGTAGTTCCCATGGTTACATGGCAAGACTCAAACATTTATGTGTTGTTTAGTTGTAGTTGCCATACCAGTATACTGGTTTCCATGGCTACCTCATAAAGCGGAAGAATACTTGAATTAGTCAGTATTACCAGCCATTCTAGAGTAGTTGCCATACCAGTATACTGGTTTCCATGGCTACCTCATAAAGCTGAAGAATACTTGAATTAGTCAGTATTACCAGCCATTCTAGAGTATTGGTTTCCTTAATTGTATGATAAAAATGAAAAACATTAGGGTAGACCAGCTTCGAGTGCCATCCCATACTACTGGTTTTCCATGGCTACATGAACATACCTGTATTGTTCAGCTTTATAGCTGACAACTCAGGTTACTGGTTTCAATAGCGAGATAATAAAGCTCAAAAGTATCTGTGTTGTTTAATTTCAGGCGCCAACTCGTACTATTGGTTTCCATGGCTACATGATAAAACTGAAACATACCTGTATTGTTCAGCTTTATAGCTGGCATCTCAGGTTACTGGTTTCCATAGCGAGATAATAAAGATCAAAAGTATCTGTGTTGTTTAATTTCAGGCGCCAACTCGTACTATTGGTTTCCATGGCTACATGATAAAATTAAACAATTTCTGTCTTTTTCAGCTATATAGTTGCTATCCCAGTTTATCAGTCACACCCGCTCTTTCAAGTTTTGACTGATACACCAGTTAAATCGCTACATTCTGACTTGAAATTGTTGAAACTGTCCAAAGGGTGTTTTTCATTCTTTTAATTGAAAAGTAAACAAACATCCGAAGAATATTTTACGTAAGTCTATGATTAGCGGATTTTTAATCTTTGAAAGAGAAAGTCGATAGGGATTAGGCCTAGACCTCTAAAAGTCATACTTTGTGGCCAAAGAAGTGCTAAAAATCATTCACATAGGCTTATTGGATAGCCAAGTTTGCAAAGAATTAGTCATTTGTTAAGGGCAAGGCTGGATAAAAACTACTAATAGTAAGCCTAAATCGCTGCTCATAACAACAAAGTGTGCCTACAAGTCAAGCGACTTATAACTTTAAGCTTCAAATTTTCAACCAAACTTGAAAGAGCTTAGTAGTTATGGGGCTTGTGTCAAACCTTAGGTGATGGTGAGGGGGACACGATGATGTCACCAGAGACAATAACGTTATAGTTCCACGAAGTGTCACCAAAGGGTGCGCAACAGGGAAGGGTTAGAGACGATGATGTCACCAGAGACATGAAGTCGTAGTTCCACGAGGTTGAACCAGAGGGCGTGTTGCTAGGGGCGAAATAACTATGTTTATTTACTGATTTTTAAAATCAATGACATACAAAAACTCTAGTTAAAGTATGGTGAACATTAAATCTATGTAGAAAATATATTGTTATGTAGTGTTTGAACCATTTATTTTCGATATTAAGTATAATGTAAGTACATAGATAGCGATAATGTATTATAACTGATTTGATTACCTTCTTTTAGTAAAACCGTGAGTCAGATAGAGTGTTCTACATCCAAAGGAAAGCATTATCTGTTTTAGCTAACACTAAAGGCAAAACGTTTTTCTAAACTTGCCGTCCTGCCCTGTTTATTTTCTAAAACTGAAATTTATCGAGCCAGTTAGTGGCCTTGAATAACAAACAGGTGACACGTGCCAGGAATAGGTTGAAAGAGATCAAGCAAAGTGTAGACTATATGCAGTAAGTAAGAAACAAGTTCTAGACAAACAAGTAGTAACAGTAATTGTTATTTACATAGATTCTTCAAACTCAATCGACTTATAAACCTAAAAGAGAAAAGAAGCCTCCTTTTTCAGAACAAATCCTCTGATATATATATATATATATGATTTTACTTGTTACCGTAACATTATTTTGTATCCATTAATTATAGTTTCTGAGATAATCAAACTGAACTTTCGACCAACTGTTTACTATCACTTATAAACTATATAAAATCTTACATACTGAGTTGGAATGAACATGATTTGTATGAAAACTAATCAAATAAAATTACAAACTATTATTCTTATAGTACCTGTAGTTTTATTAAGTATGACGAAATGTGAATTTTATATAAGAACACTGAATTGTATAATTCATGTTACCGAAAATATTTGAAATAGTCTCTTGATATATAATTTGAAAACTAATTAGTTTAAATGAATCATATGGAAATATAATTTCTGGTTTGTAGAAATGAAAGTGTTACTTAGTTTAAACAAACACAAGGCCAATCTTGTAATTCGAAAACCACATGATGACCTCCTCACAAATGGCAGTCTTGATGTCAAACAGTTTCAACGTCTATTGAAGAAGAAATTATATTATTCAAGTTAATGTTCTATAGAAAATGTATAAATAAACAGTAATTCATTCATTTATTATATGTAGTTGTAGTAAAATAGACGTCGTGAGCAATAAAAGTATGCAAAGTAAATTATTGGTTATAAGAACTATATCATTTAAATCATTGATATGTATGTTATAGCGGTTGTCTCATTGACTTGTGAAAGTAAAACAGCAGGTGTTCCACGAAACATTGTCTGTCTAAACTAACACTATCCTTAGTAATGATAACATATTCGGCTATAAAACGTATGTGAGTGAAATAACATATTTTGTCAGGAACATAATTATATGAATAAAGTCAAACTAGTGAAAGAGAATAATAAGTAAATAAATAAGTGTCCTTTTCAGGACAATAATTGTAAAAAGTGTGCTTAAATATAGAAACTAAATTCTAATTAGTATGATAAATCAAAATCGGCTGTGTATTTTCTTGTCCATTAGCGTAAAAAACAACAGATTGAAATATTTTCTCAAGAACTTAATTACATGGATAGCATAAAGACAAACTAGTTGAAAAGTAAGATTGTCATAAGTTTGCAGGTTAA